TAGCAGATAGAGAGATGGTAAGGAGACAATTATAAAATAGCATACCTGTGCATCCAGCAAGTACTGTTTCCTTACTCGATAAATACAGCACTAGGTATACACACTCCTTGGAGTGTATATAATTCTATATACACTTAAATTCTATGTCCAGAATGGTGAGAAAATACTATTTTTTTTTCATTTAAATTACATTTTATTAAGTATGCACCAAAGAGTATTTAAAGCTTACAAGAAATGTGTACAGAGAATAAGGAGGCTAACCACTCCAAGTTTAGTGTAGGAACCAGAATTCCACTCATAGCTCTTTAGGCTCTGTGCGCTCCTCTCAAATGTATGTCATTGCCCCTCCTCCCACCACAGAGGCAGTCATTGCTCCAGATTTAGGGTTTCTCATTCCCTATTGTTTTTTTACCCCTAGTTTTAACCAAAAGTTTGGCAGTTCAAGTCCACCCAGAGGCACCTCAGAAGAAAGGCTTGTAGTTCTACTTCAGAAAAATCAGTCATTGAAAACTCTGTGGAGCCCGATTCCACTCTGACACACATGGGGCCACCATGACTTGGAATGACTCAGTGGCAACTGGTTAAAATGGCAACTACACAATGTATGTATTCTTAAATAACATATTATTTGGTGTTACCTGTTTTTGGACTTTATTAAAAAGGAATTATGTATGTATTATTCTGCAATTTGCTTTTTTCACTTAAATTTTACCTAAGAATCCCTTCCACACTTGAATTCATTTTGCTGTATTGTATCATTTGAGTACATCTAACTGTATTTACCCATTCTCTTGTAGGTGGACACTGAGGGACTCTATGTTGTGCTGTGGGCAACATTACTGCTATGAACACTTTTGGGCATCTCTGCTGGGACCATAAACATAGGTAAAATTACTGTATGCTAGGCTATGGACATCTGGCTTTGAACAAGTATTAAATGTCAGAATTAATGAGAAAGTATGAGATAAATGTACTTAACCTCTAAAATATTTTATTATCCCTATTGTCATTTATAGGAGATCTGGTAGCATAGTGCCTAAGGCATTTGACTGCTAACCAGAAGACTGGCGTTTCCAACCCACCAGCCACACCTCAGAAGGAAGGTTGACAATCTACTTCTGTAGTGATACCCCCTTGGAAACCCAAGGAGGGGTCACTATGAGTTGGGTCTGACTCAACAGCACATAACAACAACATTGTCATTTATGAAGACAAACCATTGTCAAAGGAAAAAAAATGCACTAAACAATGTTTAAACAGGTAAGAATGACTTCATTCTGAAGTAATCCTTTTGGAAAAATAATAAAATTTAAAAAGCAGGGAGACAATTATTGGAAGGGAAGGGAAGGAAGGAACACTGTCATAGTCAGGAGAGAGACCATCACAGTGGAAAGAAGTAGGATTTTTAATGTACTAAATAAAGGTCCTTAAGAGACTCTGATGGTGCAGTGGTCAAGCATTCAGCTGTTATCAGAAAAGTCGGTGGTTCAAACCCACCAGCAACTCTGGGAGAAAGATGTGGCAGCCTATTTCTGTAAAAATTATAACCTTGGAAACCCTATCGGGCTGTTCTACTCTGTTCTACTGGATTACTGTGAGTCAGAATTGACTTGACAGCAACTGGTAGTAGTGTAGTAAAGGGTCCTTAAGGGGAAGTTAAAAAATGGGATACATCAGTCGCATATTGTTGTTGTTGTTGTTATGTGCCGTCGAGTCGGCCCCAACTCATAGCGACCCCTCCTTGGGTTTCCGAGGCAGTATCACTACGGAAGTAGGATTGCCCAACCTTCTGGTGAGCAGTCAAGTGCTTTAGCCACTATGCTACCAGAGCTCCTCATCAGTCGCATGGAATTATCTTATTGTGAAGGGTAGCTGGAACTTTTTACAACTGGATTCTGTAAGGGCCAGGTAAAGAGGGAATTCAGGGGCCTCCCTCTAGACAGGAAGAAGCCTGTCTAGAGTTTGGTCAAGCTGATGAATGTTAAATCCACCACTCTTTATGTTTCTGGTCAGAGAAGGTATTATTATCCATACCAAGACTGGCCAAGGGATTGAAGGAAGACTCCACAGAGGAGGCAATAGGCCCAGGTGAATCAGCAGAAAGAAGCTGCTGCCTAAAGAATTTTATGTCAGAACCATCTCACTAGAAAATGAGCTATTTAAATGTGAATGCTACAACTTCCTGTAACAAACTCTTTAGTAACACATTAGTTACTTCCTTATTTCCCAGTTTACAAAATGCTCAACAGTTATCAGAGTAAAGTGTAATTTAACACCAATGGAAACTATTCTGGACACATTATTAATAATTACACTAGAAGAAAATGTAGTTAAGTAGCTGACAACATTTCTCAAAATTCAGAGTAATTAGTTCCATCAGAACAAACCCAATTACATTTCTAATTCTTTCTGACTTGCTGAAAGCATTAAAAGTGAACCATGTGGCATTTTATTCCTGCTCAAATGAGCCATTTGTCTCAGTGCCGAGATAGGAGGAAGAGGCAAAGGAAGAGGCAGGAGCACATGGTAGCAGGAAGAGGAAGGGCATGTGTTATGGATGACAGGTCAGAAAGTTATAAAGCAGCCAGTGTGCATGAGAGTTGGGGACCAGGTCTTTGGTGTATCTTGAAGGATTCAAGTAATGTGGGCTTGGGTAGGTGTGTAAGTGTACTTTCAAGCTCCAAAGAGATCATGGTAACCAACTAAACCTACAAGTTCAGTTGTCATAAAAAAGAGAAAAAGAAACTGTTGTCATCAATGCTGACTCATGACCACCCATGGAAACCAAGGTACTCATGTGTGCCAGAATAGAACTGTGCTCCACAGGGCTTTCAAGGGCTCATTTTTTGGAAGTAGATCAAGCCTTTGTTTTGAACTCCAACCTCTAATCTTTCATTTAGCAGCAGAGCATGTTAGCTGTTTGCACCACACTCGGACTCCTTTGTTGTGATACCAAAAAAAAAAAAAACCCACCAAATTCACTGCCATGGAGTTGACTCTGACTCATAACAACCTCCATTGGGTTTCCGAGGTGGTAAATCTTTATGGAAATAGATTGCCCATTATTTCTTCCACGGAGTGACTGGTGGGTTTGAACCACCAACCTTCTGGTTAGCAATCAAATGCCTTAGGCACTATGCCATCAGAGCTTTTATAAGTAAATCATTACCATGATCAAATCAAAACAAGCTGCTTGGTTCAGCCAGAATTTATGGTACACTGCACTCTGCCCAGGCCTCTCTCACTCACTACTTGGCCACACAGTCCTGGCAGGTAGGTAATATTACTCCCAGTAAATAGACAAGATCTGGTAGTGTAGTGCCTAAGGCATTTAACTGCTAACCAGAAGGCAAGGAAGGAAGGAAGGTTGGGAAATCTAGGGGATGTGTAGGGTAATGATACCGCCTCAGATACCCAAGGAGTGGTTGCTATGAGTCAGGTCAAATTCCATGTCAGAGTTTGGTTTTGGTTTGAAATAGCCAAGCCATGGTTCAGACGAGTTAAGTGGCTTTCCCCACCTTCCTCTGCCAATAGAGGGCAGTGCAGCTTACATCAGCTGGTGACCTGAACAAAATGCCTATGATGTTCCCTCCCAACCCTGGATAATTTTTTAATGGTTGGCAGTCCCTTGTCATCAAGGAAATCTCATCAATAGAAGTTATTTTCCCTCTGCCTGGATAACCATGTGAGGTGTCAATTATCAGACTGCTCCCCCAGCAGTAGACTTTCAGATAGTTTAGAGTGAAATACCAACAGAAGGAACAAACCCTTCTCTTGCTAATGATGGCCTCCTTGTTAAACTTAAATCCTGTCTGGTAACAACATGTGGTTCCTGATTGTTTTTTTTTTTTTTTTTTTTTCTCTACTTTACAAAAATGTGCTTCAAGAATATTGGTGGACCCCATCCTTCCACCTTGCATAGGGTGAGTGATTGCTTGAACAACTGAGCAGTGTGGGTACACATGTAGGTATGGAAACAGGAAATACACTCCATTTGGAATATTTGAAACAGATCACCAGGCATTGGTCACATAGAGGTAGAAGAGTTGAGAAGTCAAATGTGGCTTGGGGCAACCAGAAGCCAACTGCTCATTACCCTAAGCTAGAGGGACAAAAAAGGCAGTAATGCTAAGGTTGCCTGGGCTGCTCCACAAACAGCTCACTACCCTAGACTAGAGAGACAAAGGCAGTAAGGCTGGAATTGCTTGGTCCTCTCCACAAACAGGTATAAGAGACATCATCAAGACCTAGATTGCGAGCACCTGGATTCTCCCTTCCTCCTATTCTCTTATATGGAAGGCAGGGCTTCCCCATGGCTAAACCTAAATGGAAGCAAAAGTATATGGAAACTGGGGAGTGTAACCTGCAGGTTCTCTGGGAGCCAGGAGTGGATCAGAGACCAGCAAGGTAGGGGAAAGTCCAGTGGGCTGCCTGTACTGAACCAGAATTTTGTTATCCAGCCCAAAGGGACTTGGATCAAGCCCAATCTAGTACTAGGAGAACGGAGAATGGACTGGATATCTATTATAGTGTAATATTTATGCAGAAATTTCCACAAAATATATACATATTTATTCATACATTTATTTTTCAAACTTCTGATATCTGCTCCTTTGGTTTTCCATAGTGTCTCATTACAAGTGGTAAATAGAATTTTAAAAATATATATTTTGCCAGGAAATACATTTTCTGACACTAAAACCAGATTTCTTATATTGTGACATTAAATCTGACAAGTGTAAACATTTAAAGGTCTAAAATATTTCCCCAGGACTGTTTGAACTATTGAGAGGAATGTTCTTGAAGAAACCCCAGATCAGGCTAATGCAGTTGAAAATAATATAAGGAAGCTTAACTGTAGTCAATCTATAATTCCTTGCCTCTGAAATGATAGCAAATTGTTATGCATTAAATATGATCAAAGTCATACAAAAGAAGAAGCAGACAATTATTTCATTTGCACAGTAGCTTGTCTTCAGAGACCGAGGCAAGTGAGGACATCACATTTTCCTGAGGCATTTCTTTATGAAATAGGCCACCAGCCTCTGTGGCCGCTTCTGATACTCCACATACACGTCATGTGGGCTGTTGACCTGGTCTCCATCCAATCGGTTGAGGAGGGTGACACACACCACGGCCGCTGCACCAGGAAAGAGGGTCATATTGGGTCTAAGGCATGTGGACTACTAATTTAGCTTACTGAGAGGAAATCACACATAAAACCTAACATGTTGAGCAACATCCACTTATCCCCTCAAGAAAGCAGATAGGCATTTCAGACATTGACATTGTTCTGACATCAGATAATGACAGGCAGATGAGTGCTGGAAGAAGCAGAGTAAGGAAAAGTTCTGGGTCCCAGGCATTGGAAGTCTCATTCCTCTCTTCCACCACGTATATTATTCTTATTCTCTCTTTGCCTTTGTTTCCAAATGAAATTACGAAGAATATTCCAGGATCAGCTCAGGACTGCCCTCCCCAATTCAAGAAAGGTAAATTTTGGCCAAAGTTTATATGGGAGGCAGACTTACACCTTGAAGGAAGAATAGGAACTTGAAGGTGCAACTAACCACAATTTGGAAATCCAAAGAAATCTGAAAAACAAGCTGGTTGTGGAGTTGGTGGCAATCTTATTTGGCAGGAAAGTCTGATCTCAACTGAGGTGGGTCTTTCTGCAATCTTGCCTTGTCCCACTCAGTGGCATGGAGAATCACTGTAGAGATGTTGGGAATTGTACATTTCATCATTTCACAGTAACCAAATATGTTTGAGCACAGGGGTGTGGTGACCCCACCTCTTTCACAAATGCGATATTTAGATTAAATTGTGCCCTCAAAGTACATTTTGAAATCCTCATTCCTGTATCTGTGGATGTAATTCCATTTGGGAACAGGAGTTTCTTTGTTACGTTAATGAGATCATCAGTGTAGGGTATGTCTTAAACCTACTCACCCTTGATATATAAAAAGAGCCAATTAGGTACGAAGAAACAAGCACAAATAGAGAGGAAGGTAACATGTCTCACAGAGATCACTACAGAATCAAGGAATACTGGGTCTACATAAACTGAGAGAGACTGTCCACCCCAGAAATAATGCAGAGAGAGACTTTTCCTAAAGTTGATGCTCTGAATTTGGACTTCTAGCACCCTAAGACATGTGACCTAAGAGGCTGTGTGGGCAGCAGTCAGAAAGTGCATGTGGGAGGACCAGAAAGGAAGCCTTGGCAATCACAGTGGCGAAGAACACCAAGACTTGAGCCAGCCGAGTGGAGATAAAGAGAAGAGGATGAAGCTTTGTGGCCAAGAAAATGGCTGCCTACCTCGGAGGCCAGAAGCAGTACACATGGCAGCAAAAACTGAAGATTCCATCTCAATATTCCGAATACCCACAGCATGGGCTGCCCTCAAATACTCCTGTTTGTCCTCTTCTGTGTACGAGCAGAAAGCACCATCCAGGCGGCCTTGCCCTGCAATACACATGAACACATGGAACTTGTGACCAGAGCACCTTGAACACATGCATGACATGAATGCCGACTTTATGCCACAGATTGAACAGAGGCAGGTGAGGTCCATCCAGTCCCCATCCAATTATGAGTAGACCATTATAACCCACCAACTATCATGACTGAGAGAGCAGCATGATATCCTGGAAACACCAAGGCAGGAGCCCTGTCCCACCATTACTGAGGGTGCCCTGGGTGAGGAGCACCCACTCACACACCCTTCCATCCATCTCACCTTCATAGAAATCTGAGGTGCACATGGTGTTCCCCATGACTGTGGGGAACTCATCCAGCTCTTTGGAACACTGCATCAGCTCCTGTGCTAGCTGGTCATCAAGGTGTGTGCTCCGAACGACCCGCTTTCCCAGGACAACCTGCTCAAACTCAGGCTTGAAGTAGGCATCCACTGCTTGTTGGGTGATGACCACAGACCCAGGCTCCAGACCTGAGTCAAGAAGCAAGCATCATTACCATCAAGTTGAATCCAGGGCTATGTGGGAGTAGGGGAAAAGGAAGATGATATATCTAGAAACCAAAATACTAGACACATTCAGCATGGCTCTGAAAGCAAATATTTAATGACCCATTTTCCCTATAAGAAATATATTTTTTTCTGTTTATAAAGGTAATTAATACAGAATGATTGTGGAAAATATGGAAAACTGCAAAGAAGAAAATAAAAATTTTAAAAACCTTTGTTGTTGTTGTTATGTTGTTATGTGCCGTCGAGTCGGCCCCGACTCATAGCGACCCCTCCTTGGGTTTCTGAGGCAGTATCACTACGGAAGTAGGATTGCCCAACCTTCCTT